CGCCAGCGTGTACTCCACCATCCTCCTGGATGTGGCGTGAGGACACTGAGGCTGCCCACCCGGAGTTACTCTACAATGGCAAGAAACCGATCCCCACCCAGGTGTGGTGGGATGACCAATATCGCCCACTCCTCGACCCACAGCAAGTCTTGCGCAACCAGGGGGCCGGCGCTATGCATCCCTTCACAAGGGAGTTTTACCACCCAGCTGACCGAGTCGCTCAGGCCACACCGGCCGCTGCAGCCAGGTTCCATGAGGATCATCGCCGGTTCCCGCCCGCCGCTTATGAGGAGAACTCACTGGTGTGGTCGGGCAACCAGTGGAGGCAGCTATCCCCAGACGAGAGGTCCCAGCTGTTGGGTGTGCCTGTGGCGGCCACCCACGCAGTCCGAGGGTCGCAAGATCAAAGAACCAAGACCAGGAACTCCCTGCTGGGCAATGGTTTCCACCTTCCCAGTGTCATGGCCTTGCTGTGCTGCCTTCCCTCTATCATGGCTGCTAAGTTGATCCCACAACCCCTGGACTTTGAAGAGACCTCCTTGGCCGAACGGCTTAGTCATACTGTATGGTCGCCTGGGCGCCTAGCAAATATGCCGGGACTGCTCACCTATGCTGACGTTTGCAAGGAGCTCCGCGCTACCTTCCCGTTCTTGGAGGAGACCAACCCGGTTTGGGGTACCACTGCACAGCGCTTGATGGCCTGTGAGCTGTCCGCGCTTCAGGCATACCCTATGTGGCGCCGCCTTCGACAAGAGCCCTGGACTCTGTTGGGGCCGACCCCGGTGTGGGGCCGCGAGCGAACCGCCATCTATGCTGGGCTAACGGGGCAAAGATACGCAAGCAACTCTACAAAGGGCCTTGATCACCTCCTGCCCCCGGGGTTGGGCAAGGAGGCACACATCAGAGCTTCCTCAGTGCTTCCTTCACCTTTTGCTCCCAGCCCATGGCCGGAGCCCGATGTGGCCTTTGTCACCCAAGCAGTGGCAACATGGCAACAAGCTCTCCCGCGGTGGGCCGAGAAACTCCGGCACATCTTGCTGACAGTGGCACGAGCTGTGCAACCACTGGAAGTGGCGCTGTCCCCTTTTCGATGCCAGAGCGCTCGGAAGGTGGCAGCTATGAAGCGACCAGCGTTTATGGCAGCTATGGTGGCCCTTCTTCGATGGCCAGACAAACAGCTCGCCCGTGCATTGGTGGTGGGTTTCAACATCGTGGGAGAACTTGCTCATTCAGGTATTTTCCGCCCTATTGTCCAGGAGGGGAAATTGCCCTTGGAACAGTGGCTGGGCGCGGCAGCTGAGGCGGATCTAGCTCGCCTCCTCCGTTCTCGCCCTCCAGAGCATGTCCAAGACATCCTCGACTTGACACAGGAAGAGATTGAAAAAGAGTTTTGCTCCCCGCTTCGGACGGCTCGTGAGATGGATGACCTTTTCGGTGTGGGCGGTTGGAGGTTCGTTGAACGGTTTTTAATCATCCAACCTGATGGCAAGAAACGAGCCATCGACAACGCTCGGAAAAGTGGCCACAATGTTCATACCACAATGCATGAAACCATCTCCACAGTCAATGTCGACTTTTGTGCTTCGGTTGCCCGTATGTTGCACACCGCCCTGCAATTCCCATTGGGTTCCCCCCCGGAATGGCTCGACATCCGTCTGGGTACGGATGACCTGCCTGATGCGTACCGGGGGCTTCCTGTGACTGACGCTCACCTGCCTTTCTCCAACGTGGCAATCTTTGTTCCTGGGGTAGGGTGGCGCTTCACATGTATGTGGGGCTTGGCCTACGGCCTCGAAAGTGCGGTGGTGAACTTCAACCGGTTTCCCCAGCTCGGAATAGCTGTAACACGCCGATGCCTGTTGGGGTGTGCGGCGGCGTACTTTGATGATGAGATGGCAGTGGAATGCATTCGAGATTCTGATGTTTCCCAACGCAACCTGCAACTCGTTTTCCGCTTGTTCGGCGCACCCCCGCAGAGCGCAAAGAGTTTTGCCCCTGCACCCAACCGCCACTACTTAGGGACATCTGTCCACGTGGGAGACTTTGGTATGTTGGGGGTCATTCGGTTTCAACCCAAGACCTCCACCACCATGAAAGTGCAAGCCAAGCTCCACGAGGCAGTGTCCACAGCCCAGCTTCGCCCGGATGATGCGGGGAAATTGCGTGGCGATCTCAACTGGTTGTTCAGCATGTGCGCCGGACACGCAGGGCGGTTTGCGGGTCCGGTGTTGGCCGCAAAGCAACACGCCAATGGTCCAGATCTGGATGCTGCTGAGGTAACCACCTTACAGCTCCTGAGCGTCATGCTCCAGCAGGCCAGGCCCAGGGATGTTGACGTGAGCTCGGCCACCAGCTCCCCCCTGGTCGTTTACTCCGATGCATCATTTGAGCGGGGTACCTTGCGGGTTGGCTGGGTCATCATGACATCCCCGCCTCTTGGAGTGACATGCTTAATTCCTCCAGAGGTCACCTCGTCATGGATTGAGCGCCACCAGCAAATATACCCGGGAGAGACACTTTGTGGACTCTTGGTGCCTTGGATCCACAGTGATCTCCTACAGGGACGCGACCTCCTTTGGTTCGTAGACAACGAAGCCGCAGTTTCTTCGTTGATCAAAGGGTCTAGTGGACAATGTGATGTCCATACCATCGTGCAGTTGGCTCACCTTGTTTTCCAACGACACCATATTAGGCCGTGGATCGAATGGATCGACTCGGCTAGCAACCCGTCTGACGGGTTATCTCGGTTGGGCCTTGAGGATCTGTGGACCCAAGCCCAACCCTGGTGTGTGAAAGAAATTCCTTTCCCCACCGACCTTTTGTTTGTTGCACGGCCCTCGGACCTTCAACCTTTTCTCTCCTTATTGAACAGTGGGTGATTTTAGTATACAGTGGGTGATCAGGTATGTTCATCAAAGATGACATAACCAGCTAGTCTGTGTGTTGTTAAACCACGACTGATTTCCCAGTGTTTTCAACACTGCTGTTCAATGTTAGGAGCGTGTGTGGTCTTGGCCCCTCCGCCCTTTGCGAAGACTTTCGATTCTCCACGGGAAAAGAAGAGTCGAGCTTTACCGTGTGGAACCGTCCTGTATGTTTCTTATCAATCAATATGAATGGTTGGTTGGGTAGGGACATATTGAGATGTGAAACATATAGTGAGGGATCCTCAATCTTACACGCCATTTTGGCTCAAGATTGGGGATTCCCTCGAATTTTCTTCCCCACCCACTACCACCCTTGACACCCTCTGCGGGTACTATAGGGTAGGGTTCGGGTTTTCCTGTATCTACCCCCCTTGAGGGTGATCAGGTATGTTCATCAAAGATGACATAACCAGCTAGTCTGTGTGTTGTTAAACCACGACTGATTTCCCAGTGTTTTCAACACTGCTGTTCAATGTTAGGAGCGTGTGTGGTCTTGGCCCCTCCGCCCTTTGCGAAGACTTTCGATTCTCCACGGGAAAAGAAGAGTCGAGCTTTACCGTGTGGAACCGTCCTGTATGTTTCATGTCATGAAGAGGCGGCATGAAACAACAGACATTCTGCACAGTCGAAAGATCCAGATATGACCCTGAGTTTTGGGGGTTTGGCATTGGTGTTGAACTGCTTTCTGGCGCGCATCTCTCACGCGTGTTGTCGCGGAAGTTCTCCATCAGCTGAATGCCTATCCCAGGTGCTCCATGTATATATGGTATGTATATATATGCCTACATTGACCCCTGAAACCACCCCAATCTATGTAGATACTCTGTTCATGGAGTGTCTGAGTACACCAACATTGACCAACTACCTGATTCCGGTTTTGCCTTGCAATCGTCTCACCCTGAGTCATACGATGTCATTTTCTATCAAGCACACCCAGGGTTTAACATGACAACGAACAGAAAGACGTCAACAGTCAACCATTAAATATCTAGATGGAACTATGGTCCCACGAGACAGTTGTGCAGTATACCTAGGATCGTTGTTGACAGATACGGTGAGTAACACAGCAGAAATGAACAACAGAATTGCCATCACCATGAAAACTTTCAGACAACTCAAGATCTTCTGGGACAAGGCGAATACCACTACAAATTGGAAACTGCGTGTGTTCAAAGCAATCATACAATCAAAACTTATGTACAGCCTGGAAGTGATCCAACTCACTGAAAATGAGCTAAACAAACTAGATGCTTTTCAGATGAAGGGACTGAGACGAATTCTCAAAATATAATACGCTTTCATAGATAGAGCGCAAACCAACCAAGTCGTACTGCAAAAAGCAAACACGCATGGAGTCTATGTTCAAAAACTCTAGACTTTTGGAGGCAGAGGAAGATAAGCCCATGAGGCCACATTCTCTGAGCAGATGCAAACGATCCTCTCCGACAGGTCATTTTTGAAAACCAATCTTGCATCCCACGAAAACCACCATATCGAAGGCAAGGGAGGCCGAGAGTGGACTGGCTAACTGAAACAGTGAAAGACACGTTCCATTGTCTCGGGCACAGCCCGCCCCAAGAGCCAAGCCTCCAAGACATACGAATGCTCCAAAATGCCGCCAGGAACCGAGCATATCCATTTTGAGGAAAACAAGAATCAATCATTCTCTGAAAAGAAGGGTGCTGCCCCATCAGCCTACGGGCTTACACAGTAATTACATTGCAAAGGACAAATGCCTTTCCCTGAGCTTCGTGTCACCTCATACTAGGTCCACTTTTTTTAAAGCCCGAACAAGTGAACGCTTGTTGTGCGCTCCGGCAAACTCCTTGCTTGGCACTAGAGAAAAAACACACCCAGGACTTACCCAACCCGAAGCGAGCTGGCATGATATTGGAGTTCACATAGAACGGCCATTTCTGTTTGTTTCTTTTTGTGGGTTTAGACCTACCCAGTGAGTGGATAACCTTTAACCCTTGATCTTTTTAGGCACAAACAGGTCGACCTTGATCCTCCATGGAAGATGATGGGTGCGGAAAGTCATGGGCGCAGAAAGTGCCTGCCTGGTCCACTAAGGCTCTTACTACGTCTTCTCCGCGCGCTATGTGCCGAAGGCCAGCCCAATGTTCCGCGCACAGGTCAGTGGTGATATTGCAGTGATGGTGCTGCAAAACCTGGCCGTCTTGCAGGTGGTTTGGGGCTCTGGCAGTGAATTGGAGTCTTGGTTCGGGATTTGTTTTTGTGGGAGGAAGCGCGAGTCTAGAGTTCCGCAGCTTAGTGCTTAGTCCTCCAAATGTCGGTTGATCACGAATCACGAGCTTCATTGTATTTCATTGAAGTTGTGAGGGGGAGGGCTTATATAGTGGCCTAGAGGTTGCAGGTGGGTTTGGTTGGGCAGAAACTATTGTATATCCCTCTGACAGGTGCTAGCTTGACAGAACCAAGGTTCCGAATCTCAAGGAATGTTCTCAAGGAAGGTGCAGGTTTTGGTTCCTCCACGTTCGCGCTTTTAGGGCAACCCCGACATGTTTGAGCCACTTATCCAAAGACCGTCTTCTACGCATTCCCTTCCACCCACCGGTGCAACATCGAGGAATTCTTCGCCTTCACCTCGTTCTTGGTCTTGGACCTGGATGGTGCAGGCATTGCCTGCGTTTGGCCCAATGCCGCAGGACAATTTGCAGGTGTGGTGTCTCTGTGGCCCATCATCCTGCTTCTTGGATCCTGTTTTAGGGAGGTGTGGGGCTGAAAGTCATCCCAAACCTGGCTCATGGCCATCGAACACTCGGATTCATTCAGATGCTCGAGAACATGTGGCTTTCGACAGCTTGTGAGTTGGTGAGACTTGAGTCTGCAGTCCAGCCTGAGGTTCTTGATTCTGAGCATCTATCTTTGCAGCAGATGCTTGGATCAGCTTAGATCAACAAATCCTTTGCACGGGCAAGTTCTTCCCCTGAAAGAGTGCCTGCTTGCGATCGGGGACCTGCCTGCTTGCTCGTCGTGGACCTTCGTATCATCAACTCTAGTCAAATGAGGTCAACATGACCTGTAGCCTGCAGCCATCCAAATATAATCCCGTCATGCATGGAAGTGTACCTAAATCGTAGCCAGTAGCCTGTAGCCAGGCCCATTTGCAGAAACAGAGGATGCCGAATTGGAGGTACAAACGGACGTGTTCGCATGAAAACACAACATGTTTCCTCTTCATTTGTTATAGGCACTCCTTGTCTCGCACAGACGGGTTCTCGCTGTCTGCTACAACCGGCCTGCTCACGAGAACAATCTCTCTCATTCCCTGCAGACAACCTTCCATCTGATCGGACTGATTCATTTCTGCAATGGAACAGACTCTTGAAGAAGAGGAACCTTTACCCGCGGGGCCTCTATGGATTATATCATATTATATCATAGAAATTTCTCTTGGTGCTCTGATGAGGCTCTGTGACCCTACCTGGACCTTGAATGTGTTTCTTTTTAAATGGGTAAAATAAGCGTCGGTTCTTTCCGATTGGTTTCCCACACCATCCCTGTTTATTCGACACATTCAACACGTTTTTCTTGTTTTTATTCTTCATGAATCCCTTGTTTAAGACCGTTGGGGTTTCCCAGGCCACCAAGGACCTCCTTGATGCCACCGAGGACTTCCTGTCTGCCGGCGCCGGAACGGCACGTGGACGAATACGCGCACCATTGGATTGGCTGGGAAATTCATGCAGGTGGGAGAGTGGTTTCATTCGACGATTAGATCAAGTGATCCCATTGAGTGAGGGCCCCTTTTTTGTGGCCGCGGCCCTGTTGCGTCGCCGAAAAGCCACAGAACATGCGAGAAGGGTACCCGAGCATGGAAGGGAATGTATTTTGACAAACTGACATCGCAGATGTTCCAATGTGCACATGGGATTCAGTGTACTCTTAGACCATCTTAGACCCAAAACAGCCTCTTCGGTGAATTCATGTGATTTCTGGATGATTTTCCTTAAACCCCGCTAGTACAATATGTATAATATACAAAGCAAGTAAATACATACATGATGTATACATATAACATAATATATATATATATATGCGCACATTGTGGTAAGCCCTAAGCCCTGATCCCAGGGGATCTTGAGAAAAGGTATATACTCAAGTCAATCTCCCTCGTGTGTTTGATCTCTCCTTCAGCGCGAGCTCTTCAGGTGGGCTTCACGTCAATGACCAACCTGGGTCTCATGCCTTTCGTGTGCTCCTGGGCGACTTCATAGGGTCGTATATATATATATATACACAAATTGGGTCTTTATGATTTTATGAGGGAGATGAAACTGGATTTCATGGCAACATGTTTACCCACGACATCCTACAATATCTCGATATTATATTGAACACACAGAAACCATTGACTCCTCTTCTTCAAGGCCATTAGAGCCCCACTCTGTTGCTCGTGACGTGTCTCCCGAGGCTTCCGGCATCCCAATGGAGCCTACAGCATGCTGAAGTACTCCAACATCCTTTGTGGCTCAGGAGAGCATGTCGTCATGCAAGTTTTTGGGGGTTGCCTCTTGGCTTAGATGAGAATTCACAAAAAAAGTTGAATCGGACGATTCGTTGTGAGAGAATTGCTACAATCTGTAATATCTGCTGAAGTGGGAACCCAATAATATGTTTCTGTACTGTATATACTTGGAGCTTCATTAGGCAATCATTTCCGTCTAACTTTATTCAGGCTGAACATTCCGCCCGTTTGTACTAAGAACGCCTAAGCTGCAGCCTCAAGGGTTAAAAACGCCGAGAGACAATTACATGTGTTCTTACATGCAGGAGGCAGAACCAGAAATTGAATTAAACAACTTGGCACCTGATGCTGGTCCCCGATGTAAAGTATTTGAAGCTCATAGACTCATATCACTCACTCCAAAAAAAGACACCATTCCTTTGTTCACCCAACTACTGATTGTAGGAGGGGGAACGGGCAAGCAAGAACGCCAAAGCACGGGTAAGAACGCCTGCTCAAACATATTTTGAAGCAATGAGACACAACATAGAAACACAAAACAACATGCAAGTGAAGCATCAAGTGAATTCCTGATACACAAATGATTTTCATCACTGTGGAAATTCCTGGAACCAGTGGTGGCTAGATCCTTCTCGCCACCCAAAGGACCAGAACGCCAAGAGGGTACACAGAACCTTTTTCTGGGGGCAAGAACACCAGAACGCACGAACCAGAAGCGCCTTTTCCAGGCAGACAATTCCCTGCCCAAGAAGAGGCTCTATAGGATTCTTTTTTCCTAGAACCAACTCTTATGACCCTTTGTCGTTTGCCTTTATTTTGTGCTTATGACCATTTCTGACATACTTCCAGACACACGAACTCCCTTCCAACTTGCAGACAAACGCGCACAAATGATGTGCTTTCACCTCCCTTTACGCTTCTGAACGCTTTCACATGCTTTCACGAGGTTTGCTTGCATTGGGGCTGATCTTCTTGTCGATTTGCACCGTTTGGACCATCATGGCGCCCCAATGGTCTTCGACGTCTTCAGGAGGGAAGCTGGGACAGGTCCCTTGGCACCTTAGAGGTGGACGACCTGAAGGGAAGCCACGCGTCGCGTTGTTGTTCGTTTCCACGTGTAGCTCCCACGGTTTCTTCGCATGCTCCATGCTCCGACCTGGGCGCCGTGCAGGTGAACTTTTTGATCCGGCGCTTCCAACCCAGCACCTGGTGGTTTGGCTTCTCGGCGTGAAATCGACGCGGCGCCGTCCGAGGTTCCTCGGCGCAGGTCGGAACCGATGTCGCACCCGACATCGGTGTTTCAACCACCTGCCGAGAATTCTTGGTCGACACATTCGGTAGGGTAGAGGATCGGCGGTGCCGGGTCGGAGACAATAGGGAACCCTTCAAACACCAAGAAAGAACAAAGCCTAAACTCCACCAGGACCCTCTGACCATCGGGGTGTCCTGGCTGAACTACCCCACACTACCTACAGGCTGACAAACAGGGCACCCCGACAGGAGGGTCCTGGTAATGTCCCATCATATTCCCTAGAGATCCAAGCACCTTCTCAGAAGAGACTTGGACCCTCCAAACCCCTAGGGATTGTTTGAATCAATCACCATGACTGGCACCGAACACCGCGCTGTTCCGACCGTCACCGCGCTGGCACCTCACCGGAACAGCCGGTGGGGACCTTGGGACCGGGCTTGAATGGGAAAACGACCGCAAGACTGTTGGACTCAGGAGTTTAGACTCCAAAAACCGGTTCAAGCAGTTGGAATGGTCGAACTGAGCGGTTGGGGCGACGAGACATCGTGGAGTTTCCGAGGCTTGTTCCTTTTGGCCAGAGGACCTTTGCTGTGCCTGGATTGTGCTGGGGTGCTGCGTGGGTTGGCTTGGCTTGCACGGCCAGACTTTTGCATCCGGACATTTCCTCTAGGAAGTTCCAGACTCCTTCACTGAAATTCCCAGATTCGCGGGCCAATCATGGTGAGTTCCCGCATCTCTTTTGGGCAATGCAGCAATTCGCGCCAGTCATGAGAAACCCTTCAGAAACCCTCGAAGCAAACAAGACTGCTGTGAGACCTTTGGGCTTCGCTTTTTTCCAACACCGTACACCTGTACCGCACCAACAAGCTCCTGAATCGAACCCCAAACCCCCGCGGGTGCGCCAGAAACCGCCCGATGTGTCCACGGACTTGGCATGTCTTGCGATGCCTCACTCGGCATTTCTTATTGAATGTATGCCTGGTCCGATGGTCTATGCTTACTTCGCATCGACAAAACGGCCGCCCTCGGAACGGCCGCCTGCGAACGTGAACGGCCGCGGTGTGACGGCCGCGTGGCCAGGTCAATGCCCACGATCATTGCACCGGATTCGTCCAGTTTGCAGCTCTCTATGATGCTGATGGTGCTCGTGGTCTCCCTTTGCTCCTTGGAGTTTGGATATGTTGGGGTGTTGATCTTTCAAAGAGGTAGGAACCAGGAGCAGGATCACTGTTAAGATTAGATAAATCTTTAATATCACATAAGCAGGCCCTGCAAGAAAACTGACATCAGAGTAAATGTTTGATGGGGTCCATTTCAGAAGCAATGATGGTATACTTACTTAGTTGTTACATCCATAGTCCTTATCGTTTTGTAGCAAACTATTGTTGGAAGATGATAATAAGCCCCAAATCAATGAATTATGCAGAGATGTCGCCGAAGCCCGAACACGGTTCAACATGAGCACTTCTACAGAACGACTTTAATATATAAATGAATGTACAGTATAATATAGTGAGAATGGAATTTCATGTGATTCGTAGATACTTGTAGCATATAAATATATATATGATATGTGTCGTAGTGATTCCATAGTAAGAGCATATGTTCCATATATGCCATAGGCATTGATTCCACGTATGTAAGTGTAATGCACACATATGTAATGTTTATACACTTATATTGATATATTGGAATTCCCAACTCCCAACCCCTCCACCTTAATGTCAAGGGGATTGAGCAGGTAGCTAATATACATGCTGAAAGTTCTTCTTTTTGTAGTCACTGCTGGTGCTGATGGTCACCACAGGTTGCAAGACTCACACGAAGACACTGAAACATGCGAGCACAGCTTCATCTCAAATTGAATGATCCGGTTTTAGCTGATTTTTCACTGGGCTTGGGCAATTAAACAATATGCAGCTTTCGCCGATCTGTCACTGTGGTTGGGACCATGGCATAGCTGCAAGCCAGCCGTTCGTTCGTCGCTTCGTCGGCAGCCGGTGCCGTTCCTTCGTCCCTTTCGTCGAACACGAGGTGTGCAGGCGACGGTGCAGCCTTGGCAGACGCCATGGTTGAATTTGGCAGATACGACGGCGGTTGCGGCCCTTCGGCTTCCAAATATCGACGAACGCGGCGAAAGAACCCACCCGGGTGGTCCGTCTTGTTTCAGCATTGAAGACACCGTTTCGGGAAGGTCAAGGTCGTTGAAGTGCAATTTGTGTTCTCTTTTTCAGGCAATCAGCTGTTTGGGGTTGTAGCCAGTATTGGATGATGTCCATCACGCGACTTGAGGCCCTAGTGTGTGTTCTGGCAGTTTCCTTGAGCTGTGCAGAGGGCGAATGTGCACCAGCGGTTCAAACTTTGTGGGTGGTTCTGGCCGTTTCCTTGCTGCTGATCCTGGCTTTCTTTTTGCTCACTGCATGGATTGGAGCTTTCTACAGTCTCTTGGCCATCGTTCTTTTTTTAAAGCTGGTCAGACCTCAGATGATGGGAAACTGAATCTGTCTCTCTCGAAGCAACACCTCTCGGACCATCCATGTGTGGAGTCGAGTGACCTACAGGGCCGGGCCAGCCATGGGGTAAATGAATGTATAGACTCCCTGGCATAGATATAGAAGTTCGTGTTGATCCCCAGGTAGAACACAGGACACCGTGCCACGGTCATCTAGTTGGGGATCACTTCAACTCTTCGTTCGTCCGTTCGTTTGGGCTTTGAACACCGATGACCGATCGAAGAGGCCGGGCTGCGGGGTCGACGACCCGAAGTCTCGCTGCGTCTGATGGTGGCCCACATGTGGGTCGCTGTGTCTTCGGGTCTTCGGTTCGCCCCCAGAATCCATGCGATGGTTTTGGACAACACCTCTGTGACCCTCAAAACACAGAAATCATCCCAATGTTGATGTACAACTATGGAAATACATTGATTGTTAGGGAAGGGCTCAGGTACCGAACATTGGATGACCAGATTCGCGGCGAGTTGGTTCGACCCATTCGGAAGTAACCCTCCAATCGACAGGAGATACTCGGACCCTATGGGTTTGTATATACTGCCTAGTAGTAGGATCTTGTATGCCGCTAAGTACCCAAAGCTCAGGTTGGAAGCGCCAGTGTCAGAGTGTGCGCAAGTGGGGTGCGGAGTGTACGTTTCTTGAATTGGCAGGGGATCGGCGCCCCAAGGCATTGTCTAGGACACCGCACCCATCTCGCACCCACTGGGCCTTCGGGGTGACCTGGCAAGTCGAGTTCCGAGGCAAGGTCACGGGAAAGGATCTGCCATTGTTGAACCTCTACAAGACGGTGCAACCTGAGACGATTGTGCAAGGTCTTGGAAATCTCGCCGCCAAGCTGAGCAGCCAGGAGCCGGCATCCATCCATGCGTCCCCACCTATAATTAGGCTGCCGAAAATTCCTGTGTACGGGAAAATTCCCTAGACCCTCATTTGACTCATACAAAATGATACTCAATGAGATCTGACTGAGACCAGCAGACTGGACCTGGGCCAGCACCTCTAGGGTTTCATGCCACGGCGTTCCGTCGCCCTGGTGGGAACGCGCGTGGAGTTGAAGATGGTGTCGACGCACGTGTCGACCTCCGCGTCGATGTTGCCATGGCGGGTGGGGGGTGCGACGGCCAGGAGCTGTTTCTGTAGCTGTACTAGCTGTTACAATGCGGCGCGGGGGGGGGCCACGGCGCTCGGGTCGTGCTGGTGGCTTGCCACCACGCGAGCGACCACAGGAGTTCTCCACCCCCGGTAGGGCCCGGTATGAAAAGGCCATGTTGGCCATGTTTGCACTCCAGCGATGTCCTGATGGGCTCCGCTAAGTAACGAATTTGAAGAGAGGTTCATGTAGACAGAACGATGCCTTCACGAAAGCTAGACATGCAGTCGCCAAAGATTCGTGCTCGTTTGTTGCGCACTTTTCATGCGCGATTTCGCCTGAGAAAGCTAGCAAGACGATTGCGAAATCAGTTCCGTTTGCGAAAGCTTGCAACAGTTTTTTTGCACAGAATGCAGCGCGCTTTCAAGCAAAAACGCAGGAACCCGCGCAAGGAACTTGCGAAAGAAAACCAATTCTCGAAAACGAATCTCTTCACCGGCCATGTCGCCGGTCGCCTGTGGGCTGGTCTGAGTCAGTCTGGTTTGGGAGTAGAAAGATCAGTGGGGATGCATCCCTCTAACGGCTTAGTTGCTGGGGTGCGGGTTGTGTTTTTTTGAGATCCCTACCTGGGGATTGTTTGGCAAAAAACCATCGGCACCAAAAGCTTTGCTTTCTGATGTTGGGTTGGCCGCGGCCCTTTGGATATATAATGCTGCTTTAAGCTATATTAGTTAAAGTTATTGTATGGACTGACCACCACTGGACTGACTGGACTGGCTCAAACTATCAAGCTATAATGACAACCTTGACAACCACACTTCACACCATATTACGCTCATTCACTTAGACATACACTTCATAGCATATGGCCTCTCTACCTGACTTGCGGATCATGGCGGTGAGACTGATGCAGGCACCGCTGCCGAATTTGTCTAGAGAGTTGACTAGAGACTTGAGGGGCTAGGGTTGACTAGAGTCTAGAGAGTGTTGACCAGAGGGCTCTCATGTAACATGAAGGGAAACGCCATGGTCGCTTGGGTTCAGCCGCCTGGCTTCATGTCTGACACGAGAGGGTTGAAGGGTGTCGTTGGGCCTCAACGCCACGCTCTTCAACTCACTCTCAGTTTGACTTCAACCTCGATTGACAGGCACGCTTGGTGGGAGCAGGAGGGCTTTGGAAGTTGGTCTTGGCGTGAAGTGTCACGAAGTGTTCAGGTCATGTTTACCTACGACTTTGGCTCAGGACTGTCAGGGCAATGCAGGCAAACTGACTACTTGGATGAAGCGAATGGTCACGCGCCGGTGTTCTCTGGCAATACCTTGTGGTCGGTGTCATATGGGTGAACACCCACCATCAGAGGACCCTTGACAGATTTAGCTGATTCTAACGATTCTAGCGCGCCGGCTGCAATTTTGTATTTGCGTAGAGAGTTGTTGGCATCGGCCACATGTGGCGCGGCTTCAGAGTCACTCATACTGGCGGGTCTGGTCCATTGAGCACTCCGAACTGAGAACAACAAAGACCCTCCAGCCGTCCCAGCTGTCCCAGCAGTGCGCAGCTAGCTCACTCAGGCGGCTGTTAGTGTGAATGAAATATTTCGTGATCAGATTAAGGTCAAAGCCGTTTGAAGGAATCGAAGGAGACTTGGGTCCCAACACAGATTTTCTCTGCCAGGAACAAATCTTGGCGGGCCAGCTTTTCCGAGAGGTCTTCAAGGCTAGGATAGTTATTGGCTTCTGGGTTGTTCTTGAAGATGACCATGACCAAGGGCTAGGTTCAGTATTGGCATTCTTTGCGCTTGACTCACTGATGTCTCAAAAGCTGACCCGTTTGCAGTACACCCCAAGTTCTCAACAACCAAGCCCGTATCGATCAGGAAATTTCACGGCTGCAAATTTCACTTGCAAATTGGTCCATAAGACCCTTGTGGTGGGAAATGGTCTTGTTTGATAACTCTAGACTCTAGAACGCAAACAATGAGGCCTCTTCTGTTTGGCTTGTCGTGGATCCGAGAAAAAGAACAAAGAACTGTGCGCGAACTCTTTGCAACTTTTTTGCTTTCTGGAGAGAGAAGACGAGGAACATATTCTACCATTATATGGAACAACAGTGGAGTGGCTTTGCCCATCGCTGAGGTCCGACTTGCCAGCCGCCAGCAACGCGCAGTGGACAACCTGCAGAAAAAGACGTTGCGTGTAAAATTCTGGAGGGTACTTAATATCTTTCGCAACCGCTTCAGTTCCATCCCATTATATACATTTTTATTTTTTGCTTGTTTAATGCACACGGTGTGCATCATTACTGACCTGGATATGGTAACTACTCCATACATTGGAGTCTTTTGGGTTGTTGACAGCCCTAACTCAAGCACGTCTGACGCGACTTGTCCTTCGCGACCCACACAAGCCCTGCCCTGCGAGATGTAAACCGTTTTCTTGGGGGTACTAGACGCTCTTCCGCGATTTTGTTAATCACACGACTCATCCTCTTGATGAGAGTGGTGGACCGTCATCCGATCCCCTCAGAGGACGGAGCGCCCGCAGGACCATGAGCGGCTGCAGAAGGCCGTGGAGTCGCTGTGCTTCTACGACCTCCAATGTGCCCAACTGTCCATCCAAGCGATCCTCGGCCAACTTCGGAATGCCAAACTGGCCCCCCAAAACACGGGGATCCACACAAAAACCGGAACTGTAATGACGTGAGTGAGTGGGTGATGAGGGTCAGAGGGTCGTCTCATGTTTGGGAAAGGAACGCGCGTGGCTAAGCCTAAAAAATTAACGTTTGCATTTTGTTGACGCCTTTTGGTGCGCAGAACATCCGCGCTGTCTGGCAGACATTTGCACATGCATTCCAGTTTGAACAGCGTGTTCCACAAACCTTGTTTTTTTGAATACATTTTTTTTGGAACAAATGCACTCAAAAATTGATGATCTACATTGTACATGGATACACCGAAAACCTGTAAATGAACCTGTCTATTGCGCACCTTCCCTCCGAGCAGCAGCAGTCGATGCCCAGCCACTGACATGAATAAGTTTCAGTTGTACCTGCAGGATCCAAACAGTGTAAACAATGGAATGAACTTGCTGTTTGAGTGGAATCACAGGTGTTTTTTGCATTCAATTTTGTGTTTGTCTACTCATTTCTATTTTGTTGTGCGAGTTCTGATTGGTTTGTTTGTGTCGTTCCAGCATTAAGCAAGAGTTCTTGACAGATTTGTGTTATGGTCAAGATTCGCTCCAAGATGAGATCGTCAAAAAACAGGTTTGACAAGTCCCAGAACTGAGCGATGGGACTGGCATATTGATCGATCAGTTGGGGTGGTTTGAGGGGTCAATGCAGGCATATATTCCAGTCCCATGGAGTGTCTGGGAGTGGTTCATGTTTGACGAACACAGCGTAACGTAACAGCCCTGCCATGATATCAAATCGGCAAGAACCGTGATAGTTTCTTCAAGCACAACTCTTCCAGGCGCGCTAATTGCATATAGTTAGATGTTAGTTATACGTTAGTTGAATAAATGTAGGTGTGTGTGTATAAGCGCCCTTAACACGAGTGAACTCTATTTGGACCAGTGATCGCCCAACATATGGCCTTTTCCGAATGACAACGCAGGTCAAATGGCTGGTAGGTGCGCGTGGGCATCATGTCACACCTTATGTACAGGCTAGCCCGATGCTCACACCGATGCTCTCATGTTTTGTCTTGGAACCTGACGAAAAGGGCAAACATCCAACAAACCCTAAACACCTTGGGACAGCGCTTGCCATGCCCTGCTGGGGCACCAATCTAAATGTCACAGAGCTGCCACTAATCAGGCACAGAAACAGCTACACTTTTTGATGCTTTTCGTTGACCACCAATTCGCTGTTCGCTGTTCGCACAAACACATGTTGTCCTATTCCTACAAGGGCGGCATAGGGCGGTGCCTTCATCCGCTCCCTTGCATCGCTTTTTCCACGCTTTCCGGGCAACGCGCGATGAACAAGAAGTGGTCTTTCCTTCATTTGAAGCTGGTCAAGGATCTCATTTTGGAGTTGATCATTGAAAAGCACAACTCAATGACGTTTTCAGGACCAGGTTTGGTCCGGGGTCAGACTGGTGACTGGACCGACCAAGCGGGTGGTGGTGGGTTGAGGCTCCAAGAGTGCTGGGGCATCGCAACGAGCTCCCATCTCTCGCCCCGCATCTCTGCTCCCATGTTTGATGAAGGCAACTTGGAGGTCATGAAGTTGGGGGGGGAAGCCCTCAGATGTTTGTTTTTTGGAATTCAGAATCTCTCCATCATGATGTGCCGCCCAGTTGGCCAAATCCACAGTCTGCCTTGGCGACTAAACCGTCTCTGAAAGTTTGGTGAAGGTCAATGGCGCCCCGGACTTTCGACTCCAAGAGAGGTTGAGAGACCAGAACTAGGACCCCCTTTGGTGGTACATAGATGGGCGACAAGAGGGGCTGTTCAACCTCTCTTGGATCTTGGTCTCCAGCCCGGCTGCTTTCCGTTCAAACTCCGCCTGAGCCATCCATGGGTGCCTGAGCCATGGAGGCCCCTCTGAACCCTCCAAATGAGCGACCGGTCACCTCCAAATCGGTTCGTCCCGACCAATGACCGAGCACCACCCAAGGGATGGCCATTAGATGGGAAATGCATCTTCAGAGGGATTTATAAACCACCCTTTGATTGGTGCTGGTAATTGTTATATACGTGACCGAACCAACCGGAGGATCCACAAGTCACGAACCGAAGAACTAGATTGTAAAAGGATGATTCTTTCCAGAGGTCGCCTTGTGCGAACGAATCTGGTGCTAAGAAACTCATGACTTTTCAAGTATCACACCGAAGCCAGGATTGCCCATAAATAATGACCTCGAGGCTCAGTTCGTACCTCCCGAAAGTGAGTACAGCCTACCTCGCGAAGGTGAGTACAGCCGTACCTGTTTGTTTGGGTCATGCCTCATCTTCAGGTCAAGTGGTCCAAGATTCTACAGACCCCAGCTGTGGTCGATCGGATGTCCACCCTCCGCCACGGCCGTGGCGCCCGGCGACGGAGCTCTGTGTGGCGCGGGGCGTCGCGGCCCACGCGGCCCACAGGCGAGATCACGCTGGGCCAAGCTGCGGAGTTCGATGCGAATGACACGAAGGTGCCAGAGCAAGGCGGGTTCGAAGTGACTTCAGAGTTCAGCGCTTGCTCGCCGCACTTGATGATTGAAAGCACACTGTGCTTTTTTTTCTTTCCGTGGTGTTAATTCATGTTGAATCCATGCTGCTTTCGGAGTTGTTCGTTCATTCAGAAGTCGAGGAATAGGTTGAAATTTTCAAATGAGGATGCTGTCTGTTGATGGCCATGTAGTGGCTCCGAGAACGGGCCTCTGAATCAGGAAAGAACGTCTCGCCGCCTGAATATGATCGAACTTGCGTCATGACATGGTCCAGAGCTACCGCCACCACCCCCAATCATCAGCATGTGAATGTGCATTTGCGGGTCGCTCTCGCAAAAAGCTGTTGGGCCCATGACACAGTGGTCCAGAACGGATGGCGTCAACTGTCCGAGGTTCCAAATACTAAATCGGTCCAGTTACCAGTTTGACGATATGACCTCGAGGCTCAGTTCGTACCTCCCGAAAGTGAGTACAGCCGTACCTGTTTGTTTGGGTCATGCCCCATCTTCAGGTCAAGTGGTCCAAGATTCTACAGACCCCAGCTGTGGTCGATCGGATGTCCACCCTCCGCCACGGCCGTGGCGCCCGGCGACGGAGCTCTGTGTGGCGCGGGGCGTCGCGGCACACGCGGCCCACAGGCGAGATCACACTGGGCCAAGCTGCGGAGTTCGATGCGAATGACACGAAGGCGCCAGAGCAAGGCGGGTTCGAAGTGACTTCAGAGTTCAGCTCTTGCTCGCCGCACTTGATGATTGAAAGCACACTGTGCTTCTTTTCTTTCCGTGGTGTTAATTCATGTTGAATCCATGCTGCTTTCGGAGTTTTTCGTTCATTTGTTCAAATGAGGATGCTGTCTGTTGACTGCCATGTAGTGGCTCCGAGAACGGACCTCTGAATCAGGAAAGAACGTATCGCCGCCTGAATACGATCGAACTTGCGTCATGACATGGTCCAGAGCTACCGCCACCACCCCCAATCATCTTCATGTGAATGTGCGTTTGCGGGTCGCTCTCGCGAAAAGCTATTGGGCCCATGACACAGTGGTCCAGAACGGATGGCGTCAAGTGTCTGAGTTTCCAAATACTAAATATAGGTCCAGTTACCAGTTTGACAGTTTGACGATATGACCTCGAGGCTCAGTTCGTACCTCCCGAAAGTGAGTACAGCCGTATACCTGTTTGTTTGGGTCATGCCCCATCTTCAGGTCAAGTGGGCCAAGATTATAAATAGGTCCAGTTCGACGATATCTCCTCGAGGCTCAGTTTCGTACCTCCCGAAAGTCAGGACCTGTTCTTGCCATGTCTGACCTGTTCTTACCATGGGGTCGTGTCCCCATTCTCCACCAGTTCGAGTTCGGAGCGAGGTTCGCTTAAGGCGCGAGTTCCAGGTCCGGACGATTTACAGTCGTGAGAGCTACTTCGAGTGATCCCCACCATGACATCAAATCTAACAACCCGAAACCTGACAGTTGGGAACAACTGCGATCTTCTTTTTCGGTTTCGGGCTGTCTTATCACGGAGCATGTGATGGAGCTCGGTCACCGAGGGCGTTTGCTTCCAGGCGTTGGCGAGGGCAACATCGAGACAGTGCTCGAGAGCACCGTATCACAGGAGCGCCTTTTGAGCCACAGGTCCAGGACCAGAGCACCCCCCCCGGGTCCAGGACCAGACCCGGCAAAGCCTGGTCCTTGACATCCTGAAAAAGGGCTTTTTTGTATGACCAACTCCAGTCAAATGAGGCCAAGCTGACTTCATGTAGAGAATGATTGGGTCTATTGGGTCCCTCATTCGGCCTCCAACATCCACTGATGTGATCTCTCCCCTTTGGCACCCACCCAGTACAACAAAAACATACCGAACACGGAGGTAGGACTGGAGGCCAAGCGGGCATCATTTCTTGCTTGTTTGCTGACCACCACTAGCACATGATTTTCGGTCAGGGTCAGTTTGTGGAAAGGAAGCTTAGGGACATCAGTCAAATCAAGCCTGTCACGGTCATCGTGCCCTGTCCCTCAAGCTTGCCCAACCTTCGCGATGAAAAACAAAAAACAACTGCAGGGTGTTGCCGGCACTTCGAATCCCCCCCCAGTGTTTCGGTGTTTTGGGGGGTCCTGGCTTCACCGGCTTCGTGGTGACCTGAGCTCGAAACCTCTTCAAGCCCTGAGCTTGGCAGGAGATGCCGACCTTAAGCGAGCAACAACCAAATGAAGCTGGCATCGTGCAGTGCGAGCTCTAGCTTCTTAATCAGATACTCGCAGTGTGTCGTCGCGTCTGAATAGTAGTGCACGAAGATCTCCAGGTGATCTTGGAAAACGTTTGTTGTGCTCAACGCGTGAAACCACACATCCATCATCGCCTCAAAAAGGTCTGGACTTGGATTGATCTTGGATTTGTTGGACACGAACCTGGATTCACATCCCGACCCGCGGTGACCCGGGGCGTAGTGTAAGAGATCCATCTACCTGATTGAAGCCTTTAGAGCTCAAACATGTTCCAAACATCCCCAACGACCTGGGTATGGAGGGTATTTACGGTATGGACGGTATGGATGTGTTTGGCTTCCATCCGCAAAAGTTGCAGTCTCAGAGCATACAATGCAAATACTATCTATATTCAAACATTTTCAATCTTCCAAACGCACAATAATATATTTGCGAATGGAAGTGCAGCGACATGTACAGTGCAACTTGTACATATATATGTACCATATGTACTTTGGCTCAAGGATCAAGCGACTAGAAAAGGTGCGGTTTCCGTTCCGACGCTACGCCGCTTATGGATCGTCAGTGATAGCTTCAAACTTCGCTGATTAAGATCCACTCGCAGGTTATCAGCCGTACGCGCTCTTTATAGCCGTACGAGCTACACGAGACCAAGAACAAGACTAGTCATTACAGAAACCTGCAATGTCAAGCTCAGGAGGAAATGGAAGCGAACCCTATTCATTCGCTGCTCCTGGTGGTCCCAACACCATTTCGTCACCAGACTCTACAATGGGTACTGATTCATCAGCAAATGCTGACGTTATCACTATGCCTACTGGATCACAAATCTCGGAAAGATCCGTGCCACCGGCTCGGAATCTGACCGATCTTGCACCCGTAGGACCAAGAAGATCGATGAGAGCTACAACAAGATCTACATCGCCTATAACGTCTACCGCGAGATCCCCAAGAAGGAGTATAGAGAAGAGACGTGACGATGATAGAGGAACAAAAGAGCAAAGAAGAGAGATTCAGCTGGGTGAAGAATTGAGATCGGCGAGAAACGCATACAATTTTCTTCATGAAGAATATGAATGCATCCAAGCCGGATACTCACGACTACACCACGAGGCTGAAGTGGAGTTCAGGCAAATGTCTGACTACAACAGGAAGATGCAGGAACATCTACAAGAGATGACACAGGAAGATGAAGGAGCGACAATAAGAATTGAAGAGCTCGAACACAAGCTACGCTTGGCGGAATCGACAGCTGAACATATCTACATGAGATATCAAGAGCTTGCACAAGAAACTCATCAAGAACATTCAGAGCTTGAATCTGTGAAAGCAACGAAGGACAGAATGTCCCAAGAGCTTCAAGCAGCAATTGGACACACCCAAGAACAGAATGAATCTTCATTGGCGATCAATAGAAGATCAAAAGCCATTCAGGATGAGAACACAGCCTTCGTCGGAATAGCTGACCAGATACAAGCTAGAATGATTGCGCTACAGGATGAGAATGTCAACATGCACGAGGTGATCCAACACCAGAGAGAAGAACAATGGAACAGTGAGGTCAGGGAGACGTCTTCAACACAGTGTTCACTCATCTCAAGATCAGAGCAATCAGGAAGCTATGGTTATTGATCATCTACGAGGTCAACTAGCTATGGCACGTGGAGCTGAACTCAACGCGAGAGCGGAGATAGAAGAGATGGAAGTGGGCATGAGGATGGAGATGTTTGTATGCCAGACTGAAGTCTCTGCTAAAGAAATGGCAGAAATGAAGGCGAGCCACCATGAATACGAAGCAAACGTCGCAAAGGAGGTTATCGCAAAAGGAGAAATATTCAACAACGAAGTCCTAGAAGGTTCCATCCGTGAACGACAACAGTTGAAAGACGCCAACCTCGCTCTATCCGAAGCCAACGCACAGCTGAAAAGAGAGAATATGATGAGAGCTCCTATGTTCGGCGATGATGGTGCTGAAATTCAACAGAAGATCAGAGAACTGGAGAATGCACTATTGGAAAGCCAGAAGGAGACAAAGAATGTCATTATGGAAAATGCGAAATTAAAAGCAGAAGCACGAATGGCACCCATAGTCTCTCGGTACAGCAAGCGTCCTAGTTCCAGAGACCGCGGGTTACCAACCCACGCGTCCGAGGAAGATGAGATTCGGAACGCAAAAGAGGAGGCGAAGCACTACAAGGACGGGTACAATGAAATGACAGAGAGCCGAGATGAGATGTATGAATGGTATGCCGAAACCCACAATGAGTACGCCGAGGAAAGGGAGAAATCAATTGAGCTATCCGAGGCGAACAAATCATTGAGGGACAAGATTTCAGAAGCAGAAGCATCCTCTTCATCTCATCTTTCACCGGCAACCTCTACAATCATGAAAGTATCGAGGAAGGAAGAATCAAAGATAACCGTTCCGTCATGGCCCAGGATCAATGATCTTGGACTATGGAAGGCAAATCTCATTCAATCGATCATCATTGCGGCCAATGATTCAGATCAAGAGCCCTGGATCGACTGGATCAAAGAAGCCATGGACGATCCTGATCCGGACAAGTTTGTCGACTCAGGAGACCAAAGATTCCATTCAATCGATGCCAAACTCGGCCTAGCTCTTACCAAGGTCGTCATGGATGCGAAAGATGATGGTTCAGGTGTAACTATGAAGTTGAGGACGAGGATCAATGCAAAAGGGAGAACATCAAGCCTCATAAAGGGAAGAGAGGTCCTAGCCCTGATCCTTATGAATTTCAAGACAACATCAAATGTGGAAGTCTTATATACTTCAATGCACCTCTACCAACTAGAATATCAAGGAGACAAGAACTTATCGTTGTTCTTCCACACTTGGGATGAGATTCTGGCAGGAATGAAGCCCGTTGACGTCCCGAGCGACGAAACTCTTCGGGATCTCCTATGGAGAAAGATCAGGAACTCAAACCTCATGGCATACGACATCAGCGCCTACAACAGCATGAACGACGATGATGCCAAGAAGACATACAAACATCTACGTGATATGATCAGAAGGCACATCGAACGGCAAACTGAAGACAGGATGATCCTGGAAAAGGAGAAGGCAGTGAAGAATGTGGCCAATATCTTTCAGAATCTCAAACCAGGCGGACCTGCTCCAAAACTGAAAGCTGCACCAGCTGATCCGAAGAAGAAACCAAAAGGGCAACAAGAACAGGTTGTCTCAGAAGACGCTGCTGCAGTGAAGCCGAAACCCAATCCCAAGAAGCATCCTGAAGACAAGAACAAAAAGGGAAAGGGGAAAGGTAAAGGTGATGGAAAGGATCGCAGCCGAAGTCCGAGTACAGACAAGAAGAAGATACCATGCAAATACTTCGTGAAAGGTAACTGCACTATGGGGAAAGATTGCCCATTCAGTCACAAGAAACCCAGATCACCATCCAGAGGATCTTCTGTCGGAAAGAATGACAAGCCAGTATGTTGGATGTGGATTCGAGGAACTTGTGACAAAGGGAAGGATTGCAAGTTCTACCATGACCCAAAAGCCTCTCCTAAGAAAGGGATATCTGCACCAGCTGACTCAGGAGACGATAGGCCAAAGCCCAAGACAAAACCCAAATTGAAGCCTAAGGCGAAGCCTGGAGCCCCAGCCATTGACGGTGAACTCTTCATGGACGAATCCGAAGATGAAGGGATTGCTGCATCCGCCAAGGCAAGAGAAGGAGGTGCAAAAGTATCCTTTGATGAAGAGACTTGTGAGATCATGTTGAACGAAGCGATCTACTCAGTCAGGAACAAATGGAAGGTAGTAGAAAGGAAACCTCTACGTCCAGACATCAAACGATACGATGAGAAAGAGCTCACCCGCTACACGAGGAAAGAACAAATCAGATTTGAAGAGAAGGTCGCAGAGGCAAGAGGCATATTGATGGTCCCCTACACTGAGATCAAGAGGGTCCGAATACCAGTTGGACCAAAGGGTGACCTAGCGGTCACTATGTCTTTTGACGAAGATGACGGCCTAGTTTTCCATCATAAAGTCATTCCTCATGTATGCGAGGGAAAGAAAGATCATGCAGACACAAAGACATTGTCTATTCCAGCCAAAGGGTCAAGAACAAAGTTCATCATGGACACAGGATGTGGGTATGATTTGATATCGAAAGGCAGAGCCAAGAAATTAGGTCTGGAAGTGAGAGAAAGCGACCAATCAATGTCATTCTATACCGCAAATGGAGTGACATCCACAAAGGGAGTCGCCGACATTCATTTCGACGAATTTGACTCTACCTACTCCCCATTCGTCTTAGATGAGTCTCCTTCAGTACTGTCTGTTGGAAAGAAATGCATGGAGGAAGGTTACACATTCATATGGCCAGCCTGCGGCAACCCGTACATGGTTTCCCCGAACTACAAGAAAATCATGTTAGAAGTAGAGGGAAACATCCCATATATTGTCAAGGGCAGTGACTTCTGTAACCCCACCGACGATGTAAGGGCGGAGATGATCGCAAGGTTCACCCTAGGAGAAGGTGAAGCTGATTACCAATCGGCTTTCATCAACTGTGATGTGGATCCTCAAGGCGTCATGTGTGATGATGACGACCTCCCTGTGATTGAGCCTCCAAAAGTCAAAAGACGAAAGAGGAATAAGAAGTTCAAGGCATCTCCTGGAGAAGAAGATGAGGTAGGATCAGATGTCGCCGGAGACAGTGAACCAGAAGCTGACGATGATGATGCAGATGACATCGAGGTGGATATTGTTGACGGTGCAAGCAGAATGGTGAGAAGAGGAACTCTGAAAGCAGATGCCAGGAAAATCGAACATCTACTCACACATCGTTACAAGAATCCCTACTGTGAGTCATGCATCAGAGCAAAGATGAAACACTTCAAGACGCATCGAGGAGCGTTCAAGAGAAAGCTCAAAGCTTTTGGAGATCTGGTTACCTTTGATTTTGTCGATACGAGGAACATCCTTGATCAAGGGATCAGTACTGATCGAGAGATCTTCGTCATTCGTGACAGG